CTGGGACGGGGCTCTGGGTCCCCGGTCCCGGGCGGCGGAGGGGGAGCCGGTGGGGTGGCTGCGGGAGAAGGTGGAAGCCATTTCTCCTGCCTCTCCGGAGAGATGACAGGTGGTGGATGAGCAAAGGGGAAAAACAGACTGCAGGGGCGAGAGGAAGGGGGGCTTATTGTATACTAAATGAGCCCGTATGTCATGGATCCTGGCACCCCTGACATATGGAACCCAACACAGCTGCTTTGCTTGATGTGTCCAAATAGACGCTGGCTCCCCGCTCCCTCCGGGACGCTGCGCTGCCGGCCGGGAAAGCTGCCTCTCCTCTCCCTCCTCCTCCCCCCTGCCGCCTTCCCCGCGTGGCTCCGGCTTGGGGGGCCCCAGGCCCGCAGAGATGCCTCTGGCACCCCGGGAGCAGGTCTGGGGAAGGCAGGTCTTGCCCCAGGCGCATCTTTCCCGCAGGCAGGGGCGGAGCAGGGGAAGGGGAACAAACTTCAGATGGGGAAAGGCGGCTGCTGGAAGAGACGGCAGCCTGGCTGGGAAGCCAGCCAGGCAGAGATGTACAACATATTACCTCTCTCAGGCCTGACAAGCTTGTAATGAGCCATACGACTGAGAAATGGAAACTAAACGAATATGGACAGGCGATGACTGGGAAGCAATAGCTCACATCCCGTTTTAAATACTGGCGGGGGGCAGAGCCCTCGACGGGTGTTTGCAGAAGTGCTGCCCAAGAAACACAAGGAACCCCGTAAGTGTGCACAGAAATGCCTGCACAGCCCCTCTGAGCCCCCCCCCAGACGTATCTGGCTGTTTCTTTGCATGCTTACACACACATGTGCACACACACGTACACACACACACACACACACACGTGCACATATACACACAGGCATGTTTCCCAGCATGTGTGTGCAAATGGTCCCAGTCAAAAACTCCTCTGCGAGACTCCCACATCCACTTGTGCACAATAATTTACACCCACGCTCATAAATCCGCCCCAGCTCAGGGATCTCCATGCGCACACACACGCACGCTCACCCTTGCACTGTGATATTCAGATTTCACTAAAAAATTTAACCCGGACTTTTTTTCCTGTGACACAAAACCTCTCAGCTGTGCGTGAGAGTACAAGGAAACCATCCCAATCCCCCCCCAAAAGTTACTCTTTTGAAGCCCTTTGCCCAGCGATGATGGAAACGTGGCTTTCGGGACCCACGGAGACGCTCTGTCAAGGCTTTGAGCCTGCAATAAACTGCACTGACCTTAGAGCGCAGCTGAGTTTGGGTTTGTGTTTGACTTCTCTCCCTGCGATCAGCTTCAGAGACGAACCAGCCAGGGACCAACGCGAGAGCGTGAGTCTCAAGTTCCTGAACGAGCCACATCTGCTGGAGCCACCCACCACAGCCGTGACTCCTGCACCTCGTTTAACCTTCTCCATTCCCCTCCCGCTTTAATTTCTTTTCTCTTTCCACTCTTGTCCCCTACTTGCAGCCCCAGGACCTTTCTGGTGCTCGGTGGTGGAGGGAGCGGCGTGCCCGTGGGTGAGCACCACCCAAAACAAGCCCGTGCCTGGCCGGGGAGCGGGGCAGCC